TTGTTTAACAGTTAACAATTAAGAGCTTCTTTAGTCGGTGATCATTTCCTTAATTCTCATGACCTTAATGTGTGATTCAGGGATGATATCATGAGGTGGAATTAGATGCTAGTCACTCGTAGGGGTTAAAAGGTTATTAATCATGCATTGACCAACCGTTTATTTGGAACATCTATCCTTAGTGCAATGACGAGAAGAAATATTTTTAATATCGAACATTTGATGCTACCTAGCATACGAGCAATGTTAGCCATTGTATACCAAACACATACAGCTCAAAATCAAATGATTGTACAGTACGTGGTACATGTCCAGGTGTAGGTATAATTAAAGTTTCATTTTTATTTTATTGTGCAGTAGAACCGCGGGTTTTTACCGTAGTTCCAATTGATAACAGTTTTGTAAGTCCTGAATCAGCTGCCCTGACATAAGTATTAAAGTTATCGAACAGCACTTGTGCATTTATTTGTTTAAACAGAACGCGAAAAAAAGAAGAACGAGCGTGAGTTGGAATCTATAAGAAGGAGAAGCATGAACAAAGACACTGCTGCTAAGAGAATTATGAGAGAGTCTTTGGAAGGAACAGGCAGTGATAAACCGGTGATTTTTATATAATTGCTTTTTCTTTTATCTAGAACCCTGCTCTAACGCCAGTTTAGATGCGGAAAACACGAGGAGATCAAATTATCTGAATATTATTATATTTATATAATCTGTTCTCATAGAGCACTTCTCGATTGAGTGTCGTAACCAAAACCAAAGTTATCTCAACAGCCAATCAGGAGATAGGAAGATTAAGTAAACAACCAACCAAAATGCTTAAAGCGCGAGAAAACGCGGGCGACCAAGTCGTGATTGGTTTTAGTTTGGCATCTGATTAATATTATTAGTATTAAGACCGAGTGGAGTCCAATTCGGTTTGTAATCATACGAGTGAGTAACAAACTCGAACGACCGTGAAGCGGGAGTCCGATTTGCCAATCACGAGCTTTTGGACGACACAAAGGTCTGATACCAATTTATCATAACCTTTACAATTTCTGAAAACAACAAATACGTTAAGGACAAATGTCTGCGATAGAGACATTGTCTAGGTAAAAAATTCCTCAACTTTGAAAATTCCACTGTTTTTTCAGGATAAGTGGGTGTTTCATTGTGATCAATTCTGTGATTGGTGAATTTGGCTGAAAGGACCAAGTATGATTGGTCGCTTCAACTGTCTGATTACAAGTGTCCGATCACAGCCCACTGTCCGATTGCATTGAACTGTCCGATTTCAACTGTTCAGATTGATTAGTGAAAAATAAAACAGCTAATGCACCAATCACATCTAAGGAAATTGTGATGGTTATGATAAGTTGAGAAACTGGCGCGAATTTCTGACCAATCTCAGAGAGAAGCAAAACCAAAGCAATCCCGAATTTATTTTGACACCTTCGAATATTGCTCTATCACGCACTTATAACAAAGTAAACTTGTGATGAGAATAGAAAAACATTCAGTTCAGAGGCTGTTATCCTGATCAAAAAATTTTGTGAGTTAGTGAACACGAAAATGTTTATTAGCTCGATGGAGATTTTCTAATCAACTCTCGTTTCTTGTCGTAGGCTCATACAGCTTTGGGTAGAGACAATGATGTCATTTCAGACGACGAGAACCTCAGCGATCCGGAACTAAAAACCATTTCACCTACAAGTCCGAGCCCTGAGAGGCGAGTGAACCGCACAAGTCCTACAAGAATCACCATCACCCCTGACACATCTACTGCTAATCCGTAAGTGAACCTTTGCGTCCACACTAAGAGGGAAATGATAAACTTTGCATCAGGATATTTATTTTCTTTTTCCTGTTTCAGGAAACCAGCATCGGTGGAAACCAAGATTGGTAAGTTTTGTAGGCATTACTTGTGTTATAATCAAGAGCTACTTGCTTTGGCGATCATTTTCTTTTTTCTCGTGACCTAGATGTTTGAATTAGCTGTGATACTGTAAAGAGAAATTCAATTCTAGTCACTGTTTGTGGTGAATGGGTCAACGATTGAAGCTCTTTCCTAGTGTCTATGCCTCATAGCGGCGATATGACCTATCAACAAACTTTCTCTGACCGGAAATAAATGTTCAGATAACAATAAGCATTCTGGGGGATGCTGGGATATTTGCACTTAAAGTGTAATGGTGTATATTTTCACGTAATGAATAAACTCAGAGACAAACTCGAAGCGTTATTCTGCAGAGTCCAAGAAAGTTCGGCCGCGTATTAAGTTCTTTGGAGCATCTGACGATGAGGATTCCGAGGAAGACGAAGGAAAGCAGTCCGCGGTGAAGTTTGCTGACGCACCCTCGAAATCTAAACCAAAGACTACGTTTGCAGACACCCGATCATTTAAGGTTTGTTCCGCGGTAGTTGCAATCCATTGATATTGTGCTGTTTTATGGAATTGGCAAAGTCTTCCGCCCTTCGTTAATTCTGCCTTGCAAAAATATAAAGTAAGTTTAGACTTTTCGGGCCACTTATTTATTTGAGGTCTAAACCAAACCACGGTTTTTCGGAATCAATGGGCCACAGGCTTTCTCTATAAGAGGTTTGATTTCATGAAATAAAAGTCCTTCCACTGTTAGCTTTAGGCCCTCTTGACGCTTTTTTAACAAAAATAAATGTTCAGATGAAAGGTTCAGCCAAATTGAAGATTGTTTAGGGCGCGGTTTTGTCAACTAACGGCCAAACTTTGTATAAATAATAAGACCTTCATATTTCGAATGTCCTGCTGCGCATTTACCACATGGGAAATTAAAAAAAGGCAGAAACGTTCTTTAATAAATGAAGTTATATCACTGCAGACAGTAGTGTATTGACTCAGGATGGTTAGTCACTACATCTCAAATCTGTCATACATTTTTCTTTTCACGTACACCAAACTCTGATCCATCTCTTATTGTAAGAGAAAGGGAAATACGATGAAAACGAGAGATGAGAGACAATGAATAGCGAGTTTAACACCAATGACACGTAAAGAACACGGAAAATTTAGGCTAAAAGTGTTTTGCTACGCAAGAACCCTGGTATATCGCCTTTAAAGTTTAGTTATCTTGTTTCAAAGATCACATAAGCTATTTCAAGAATGTGTACAACAGAATGCCTAACAATCTGTTTTAATTGTTTTTAGCATGCTGGTGTAAGATTTTTCCAATCAGATGAGGAGGATGAAGACGAGGACGAAGATATCCAGGAAGAGCAAGCAAAAGCCCCCGTGTCAGTTCCTGCTGTGGTTAAGGTGGACAAAGGATGTTGGACACATGAACCTGAGTTCGATAAGTAAGTTTATTTTGATGTGAAACGCTTGAATACTTCTATCGTAGACGTTCTTTGAGATATTTTGGCTCGCGCATGATTGGCCTAAACGTGTCGCGTAACCCAGCATTCTCTCCATTGTTATGATTCATCAAATAATTGTATGCTCGCGCGCGGTTGGTATAAACGCATTACATGGCCGAATATTCCCCAGCTAAAACTGGGGAAAATTTGAGGTTATAACCTGAGAGACATTACCCAGTTTTCAAACCTTACTGTCCATCACGAGGAGTCTCCGTTGAAAATTTAATTCAAGGTGAGAGAGCGTTTTATGGTTGTTACAGAAGAAGGGGAATAGTTGTATTTTTCATAAAGCCGCACCAGAGAACACTCAAATGAAAACATCCCACACCATTAAAAGTAAGCTGTTATTTAACATTTTTCCACGTACGTTGCAAAATATTTAAAGAATCATAATCACAAAAGCCTCTAGTTTGAGCGAAAATATGCTCGTATATTTGTCCTTGGACATTATCCGTTCCTTTGAAGTTCACAGTTTTCCTCAAGATTCACTTTCGGTAAACTGTTCGTATCTCGGAAATATCCACGTTTATTCTCGCGCCAAATAGAGGATATTGTTTATATATGTGGTGAGAATCTGTAGGTTATGATTTTCATTGTGTCACTCAGCTATAATGTTTCACTTTTCTGTCCTTTAAGGTATCTACATCTGAGAATATACAAACCAGATTGTAAGAAAGGTAAGCTCTAGGTTCTTTATCAGTTGCGTTTTGTTGTGCATGTCTAAGTCTGTGAAGTTGTGATCAAAAATGACAGTTCTGGTCCGCTAGCAACTTAAAGTTGGCTTTTGCCGGTCAACCTAAAACATGGTCATCTACCATACACAGTTTAGTTTTGGCAGGACATTTCTGTGACCGACTTTGCACGTTGCTCAGTGTGTTCGAAAGTGGTTACCAAACAGCTCTTTGGGAAAAAACGGCAAAAAAATACATGTACCATCTACGGTAACGCAGTTATACTAACTTGCACACAGCAACATGCGTCTCATACGAAAACTCTGCTGCACGTGCACGCGATATCACATATGCTGCTTGCCAACTAGCTGTTCTATGTAAATATCTCTGCACGTGAGCGCGCTAATCGTGGTTACGGTTGTCTTCTTGAAACACTGTGTCCTCGTCGACCTCCCAAACGTCGACCCTGCTGCGTTGAGATTTACTACAACGGAATACCTTTACACCTGGTTTGACGTTTAATTTTGTGATTTTCTTGTTTTCTCCTGGAAAGCTAAGACTTCATTCTGTAGCGTAGCATTCAGCGGACAGCTTCTTAAGACCGAAATCTTTGAGGAGGAAGAAGAAGAAATTTCCCAAGAAATCCCTGCAGAACCGGTACCTCCGCCGCCTACAACGAAGGCAAATTCAAAGAAAGTGTCACAAATAACTAAGACGGACAGAGCAAAGACAGTCAGTGACAAAAAGGGCGGGAAAATGAACACTTCACGTGGTGCGAACAGTCGGGCCCCGTCTCCTCCTGCTTCACGGCCCGCATCAGCAGAGAAGGAGAAAAAGCCTAGGTGCGAAGATGATTCTGTACTAAACGTGCTTCTGAATTCCTGGTCTCGGTATGAAGGCGTTACGAACTTCGAGTCAATAAAACTGTTTTTATTTTTATTTAAACAGTGAGTTTAAGGAACTGATGTTTAAACTCCCCAACGATGATGGTTGTATTCTTGGAGAACCTGTCAAGGACATCACTCAGGAGCCGCTTCGATTTGCCGTGCATCCCGGGAAGGATCGTCCAATGATTGCCATGGCAACTACCACTTATGGAGATTTGAAGATCCTGGTTAGTGATGAAAATGTTGGAAATCTTTGTTTATTTACACAAAATGCGCCTTTATGTTAAGGTTTTTTTTTCTAGATATATTATTCATGTACAGCAGATACTCGAAGAGTAGAATGAATTCAAGATCTTGTTCTTCTGTTCACAACTTACATTTGATGTAATTTTTCTTAATTTTCGATTGAAGAAAACCTTTTTATCGTACCCAAATTTGAAGGATTTTGACATAAGTAGGTTATCTCATCTACTTAAAGGGCACATGTCGGTGAAATGCGTTGACGTCGTGAACGTTGAATCGTAGGCGTGGCTGGTTGCTTTTATTAAAAGAGGATCTTTTCCCCATATCATCAGACGGCGTTTAGATACTAGACTATACCACTCTCTCTCTCTCTACCTTCAAGACAGCTTGTACCGTAATTTTAAATGAAAATGGAAACTGAAACCTCGAGCAATGAAACTGACTTTGAAGTACTTTTACCTTAGTCAATGATTTAGAGAGTGCTCCAGTTTCACTTCAGCCAAACGCAAGAGAGTGAAAACCGTTGTCAGACATTTATCTTTTTAAAACGTCCTCGCTTAATGGGTGTTATTGAACCTGTTTACAGGAGCAGTTCGAGGGCCGTTGGTCGCACACAGACGGCAGTGTTAAACCAGAGCAATTGGTTCTTACCTCTGTTGTATCGGACCGTGATATGCCGTTCAACACTCCGTGTGGACAAATATCTATGTTGTGTTACTTGGTAAGAAAGACTAACAGTCAGTTCCGTCATTTCCGTGCTCGTCAGACATTTTTCTTTTCGCTTTGTCTCATCACATATTAGTAATTGACAATTTGACTTAATGATTACCGAAATCTTTTGAGGTGGATTGCTGCAAATCAGAAACTTACCAAAAGCTCATCCCGTCCCTTCCCCCCACCCAAAAAAAATATAATGATAATTATAACAATAGTACTACTACTACTACTACTACTACTACTACTGCTGCTGCTGCTGCTGCTGCTGCTGCTGCTGCTGCTGCTGCTGCTGCTGCTACTACTGCTACTGCTACTGCTACTGCTGCTGCTGCTGCTGATACTGCTGCTGCTGCTAGTGCTACTGCTACTGCTACTGCTACTACTGCTGCTGCTGCTGCTACTACTACTACTACTGCTACTTCTTCTTCTTCTTCTTCTAATGATGATGATGATAATAATAATAATAATAATAATAATAATAATAATAATAATAATAATGCTAATGGGGATTAGGTAACCTGCAACCAACAAAAGTTACATCAACAGCTTTTCATCTATTTGGCTTTTTTTAAAGTGAGCTTCATGACTTTTTCTTTCGATCAGTTTAGATTTCAACTTTATTTATTGAGCTTTAGATGACATTACTTAACCTTTCGACACCTACTGGATTTATTTCTCTCATTACAGTCTCAAGTTGAACGGTTAACAAAAGTTGGAAAGTCAACAGAAACAATACCTTTCGAGGAGTGAGTATGAACTGCTAGAACATGTATACAACCACTTTTGCCTCCTACATGTCAGCATTTAGATTTTGAATTGAGAAGTCAAAATTATTTTCGCTTACCACAACAACAACAACAACAACAACAACAACAACGACAATGCAAACAAAAACAACAACCAAAAAACAAGATGACGGTTTTCGAAGAGTCAGTAATTACAAAAACTGCCGACTGGAAGTTTGATTTAAGACAATCTACCTATATGAGAACTCTGAACTGACATACTTCTTTCAAACTGACTTCGAAGTCTTTACGGCAAGTTAGGGACCCAGATTTTTTCCTTCTTGCTCAGAGTAGCGCCGAGGGTAGAAAACGAGGATCCTTTACTGTGATAACGGGGACCGGAGAACTCGAGGCTGTTAAGATATTTATTGTATCTCTACTGTGTGTTTAATGAGTTTGAAAAAAAGATCGAGCTATGCTAAATAGCTTTAACCATTGAAAGATATTTTAATAGCAAATTGAGGTGACTCGAAATTATCGTCTAGTTGTTTGCAAGTGTTTTTGTTCACAAAAAAATTAATGTCGATAGAAAAAAAGACATCAATCCATATTTGTCCAAGAAAAGAAAAAACAACTGGCAATGAATTCTTTGAGATTTAGTGATAGAAATTTGGTAACCAAGGGATACAGTAAAGCGTATTTTAATACACATAGTAAGTAATAATACCATGTACCACGCATTATTATAAGTAGATTGTTTCTTTTTTATAGCTTGGTGGATGCAGAGATACAATCACGCAAATTGTGAGTATTGGTCAGGCACACTGCTTTAATTCGAGCAGTTTTCAGTTAAATGCCTAAAGAAACAAAACCAAAGTAATCACAAGTACGAATCAGAACAAAAAATAACGCCATCAGTAGACAATGAGAACTCAAAGAAAAATATTTAAAAATATATTTAAGCTAAATAAAGACATAATTTACTTTCTTACTTATATTTGGGCAGTTTTCTTGTCTGTTGAACAATATCAGCATTTACAGAGACAGCTAAATACATTCTCGCGATTTACTTTATTTCACATGAAGAACATTTGTAAAGGGAACGACCAGAGTCCTTTTTTTGATGAATCAGTTAATTGTATGGTTCGATTGATTGAATTTTCTTTAAGATATTTGTTACTTTTATGTTTATTGATGTGTTTATTTTTTTGTAGGGAAGAAGAAGGAGAGGCCATCGTGAAAGAGAAGGTTCCAGAAGTAAGATAAACAACAATCTTTTTTCAGATTCCGTTTTGATTTTGAATTGATTCAGTAGATCGGTGCGAATTTTTCCTGGATATTTTTGAGGAAATACTAGTAAGTTCCCACATCAGAAAAGTGGCCTTTCCGGTTTCCGTGATAGACTTTCAACAGTTGAGGGTCTGTCTTTTCACTTTTTTATAATTTTATTTTTACCCTTTTTTCTTCGAGCAAAAATTGTTTGTCATCTTGGGTTGGCAAAAGCGAGGACTTATGTGCTCTCGTTACAAAAATCTTACCCCCTCACCGAGGGTAGTTTTGTACCCTCCCTTAGCGAAAAAATGAGTGGATTGTCCGACCTATCACTTGACGTGAAGCATCGAGTTGACATTCAAGGAATTTATTCACTTTCAGACTCCAGAGGCCGTGTACACGGAGAGGGATATGACAGCCTTGAAAGAACAACACGCTGAGGAAATACAGCTACTACAAGAGGAGTACGAGTAAGTAAAGAGATCAGGGAAATATTAACTTGTTCCTGTCCAATGAAACGACTTACTCCCGCGACTCTGTGCGGTCGTCTATGGCGGTAAGTTAGCGAAACTCGCTTTTCTTGTTCTGCGGACAGGATCACGCTTAAGGTTACGGGATGGTAAATTCAAGAGACTCCATCATGGCTCTCTGCTACTATTTCACTTCTAATATCTGTGGGTTCATTCCCACAGTTGTTCATGCTGCATTTCTTTGTTGAATATTCCTTAGAATTTGTTGTTACAGGTGAACCTCCTCTAACGGCCATCTCTACACAAAGGACACCTTAAGATACCGTTACCCCGCCCGCACCCCTCCCCACCCACACAACGCCTTAGTGTAGCAAAATTCGTGGTTGTTCGCTTATGATAGACAACAGTCGGTAGCTTTATTCTTATCCTCACTGCATCTTCAATACTTAAAGAACAACACATTAGTTCCTACTGCTCCTCTGCGTGTCAATTTTGGGTTGCTGTATTGTTAATCAATTTTTTTTGTGTGTCAGGTATTTTAATTCTATTGTAGACATTTTTTCTCTTCATAAAAATGTTGCAGTGGTAGAAAATAAAATACTGATACGAGTTGTTAGGTTTCATTTCTTGAGCTCCAGGCTGGTTTTTTTGTTGAGAAAATGCCATTCATTCAATTTTACCTTTGTCTCTCTTTATCGCTCTTCTTCTTAGAACACTATGTATATGTTCCATCTTGTAGTCTATCTTTTACTTTGTTTAATTTTATGTAGGAAATCGAAATAATTTTGACCGATTGAATCTCGTCAATTTTAGATAATTAATCAATGTCTGTCATTTTACGTTCTTTTTCACAGGAAGAGGTTAAACGAGCTTGCCCGAGGACTGGGTCCGTATTCACCTGATATGGAATATACTCACAATGTTGTCGACGGTAATAAGAATTTTTCTCCTTTCTAAAACTCCTGTTCGTTCAAACCAAGTGGTGTATTCTAAATTTACTAGTATAAGGGTGACCTGAAAGCTTTCTGTGGGCGTGCACTTCTTACACTTGGGCGTAGTTTTTGGTGCGTACCGAAGATTTCGATCGGAATTCCTCGTGATCGGGAAGAAAGCGTCGGAAAAGCTTCGGGTAGTTTATAATCATCTCAGTTGGAATTCTTTTCGATTGGACATAAAGCTTTGGATAAACTTGAGGTACTGTAACGCATCTCGGACGCGACTCTGCAACTGTTTTCAGGATGATTCACACCTCTTATCCTATCACATCTTTCATTCAATGTCAGGATTGCCAAATGAAGGACTAGAATTGTAATGTTTGTTCTTATTTGCTAATCAAGATGTAACGCTTGCTAAGACAAATCTCTTTCCTTGGTTTTCTGTAGCTGCCACTTCACCGATCCTTTTTAGATCTCCTTCACTAGTAAGATCGCCATCACCCGAACAGGGGAAATCGCCGAGACCGCCATCACAAGCTAGGTAAGAGATTGAATGGAACAAAGTATATTGGCCTGTTCCGACTGGAAATTTGAATGTAACATGACTGAGCTCTTGGTTGGTAGCAGTGAGGTTCCTTAACGCCTTCTTGGCATCGTAATGTACAGTTGACGACTCACGCGGAAGGATGGTGTTTGTTGTATCCACGGGCTTTCCTTGTTTTCAGACAGTCCCTAGATAGCCAAAATGGGAACCCACCCACACTCCTTCGGGAGTTCAGTTCAGATTGGCCGTCGTAATTACTTTGGTTTTAATTTGGTTGGATGGTTTTAGTTTGGTTTGGTTTGTTAGGATACTCAATCAAATTTCACTTAATTTATGATTGTTTGTTTGTCTGTTTGTTTGCTTTTTCAACATTAGCAGTGTCAATCGTTTCATTTATATGTTTTTTCTGGTATTTGATTATCGTGAAGAAATATAGAGGTGCATGCACGTGGGTTATGCATGCAAGTGCATGCATGCACATGGGTTATGCGAAGCCAAATTCAAATTAAAAAATCGGCAAGGGGTATTCTTCCCCTTATCACAAAACTTCTAAGATCGTAGATGATGTTCGGAACTTCAGCTTTTCCCAAAAGTTACTCGGACTTATTCATTAGTTAATGCTCAATCAAGCGTTTTATTGGATCGTCGACACAATTTATGACTTTCTTTAGAACCAGGTTTTTCTTTCATGAACACGCTGTTAGTTCTTTGCACACCATTTGTTGTGTGCGGACTTTTTCCCGAGGTCGCTTGAGTTTTTAATGTAATCTTATTCAATCCTTCAGACCACAATCTCAGGCTCGGAAACCAAGACCCCGCATCCCTAACTTACCGGAGTGGGGTAAAGATTTACCCGAGGATGTAAGTGTTGAATACCTTTGTTAGACATGTGATGTTCAAATTTGTGTGCTTATTTGTTTGATAGCTCTGAAGAATGACTGTCACTTGTATCAAGGCCTCCTGGTTGTCTAACTGATGGTGGTGGTTATAGAAATAATACTTTACATAGTGCAACATTCAATATAATTGGCAATGTCTTCCTCGTTGTCATTGCCACAGTTGTTGTTATTTTAGTTGTCTTGGTCATCGTCGTTGTTGTAGTTGTTGTTATCATTGGTCTTCTTTGTACCATCGGTGATGACCGATCGCTGTCTAATGCGAAGTAGAACTTCAGAAAACCAACTTTGGTTGCCTCTAATAGTCACAGGCTTCCCGTTTTCTTAAAATTCTCAGATTTATGTACATATGAAAAATCATTGCAGTATAGAACCTCCATGATAAGTTTATATTTACTGTATTAGAATAAGCTTGAAACTTTTCATTTCGTAAACGAAACTGAAATGTGACTTGCGAGCTAAATGTTTAGTGTTAAACTGTAAGTTTTCTCTTTTACTCAAGTGTTTGATCATTGCACTATCTTCCTTGTTTCAGTTCCTGGTTCGGCTTCATTTATTCAATGAAAACAGTTCCAAATACCATCAAGAACTGACTGACAAAACACGCAGAGCAGTGAGTTTTTACATTAGTACAAGTCATGCACAATATGTATTATAAAAATATTCACCTGAGTGACGAAAGGATGGCATTGAAGATATAATAAAGTTCACATGGCAACCAGGTGGACAATCAGACATGGTTTGATGCCACTCTGGTTTAAAGATTTAATGAATATAACCGAGAAGTTACAATTCATAGACCCAACGTTTCGACGCTCCTGTCTAGTGCCTTCATCACCCCTGATGCTATGGGAATGGTCCTGAAATCTCGCGCTACCTTCTCAACTAGTCACTCACGTTTTCCCACGCGTCAAAAACGTTTCATGTTTTTTACTTCGAGTTCTCATTGGCTGCCCTCGGAGATTTCCTTTGCATCTGATTGGTCCTTTGTGACTGATTTGATTTTGGTTTTACGACACTCCTGATTGAACAGCGCTCCAACACCAATCGCGACATGATCATCCTCACCCTGTGTCCTCTTTGGCTCCGTATAATGTGTTCCTTCTCTTCGTCGGGTGTTTTCGTCTAATAGCACTCAATCGAAAAGTACTCTAAGTACAAATACATGTGCACTTAAGACTTTATATGGAAACAACTGTATTTTTTAATCCGCGCTAACTAGCACTCGCCGTCTTGTTTTACGGTTCTTTTCCTGTAGATACAAGAACGATATGAACTACAAATGGCTGTACAAAACAGACTGTCTCACGCTGAAGAAGAAAAGGAAGATACCGGTTTGTTATTTTCTTTGTTTCGTTTTCCTTTCCATTTTTATTTTGCCCTGTTAGCTTTTATTTGTTACTTTGTTTAAAAAAGGTAATTCAATCTTGTTATGATGTGATCTTCTTCTGTATTAGACATCTGTCTCCCTGCTGTATTTATGCCAACACGCACTGGTCACGTGTTCTCGCCTAAGGCCCACTCGTATTTTCACCCACCAGGTAAGAGCATTGTTAATGATCAAAAGGGTTGGTACTTGAGGCACTTAAATTTTGGATAAAATCTCCTTGTGGCAAAATCTCCTAGGGATCCCTCAATTTAAGTCTTTGGGGTATTTTTGTTGACAACTATTATTATATAATTGTAGTTTAGTATTTAAAAACTACTTCGTTACCTTCTTGGTTTAAACTTTCCACGATGTGGTGTCTTGAAAATTAATTTTTGACAAGTCTTTGCACACTCTACGTGCTGAAAACACGAATCCGTAGTCATAAAAACTCAGACACTTTACTCTTAAATTAGTTCCACTTAATTGTTAAATTACAACTTTAGCTGGAAAAAAAGTTGTTAATATTTCTTTTTAATATTTCTTACTTCTGGACGTATGTGTTTCGTTCCTTCTTTCATATTTTGATGACATGGGATATGACCCAGTCATTATTTTTCTTCATTTTTCCATAGGTTCATCTGAGGGCCGACTTACGCAACCGCCTTCTATGTTTAAGCTGCCGTCTGTGCCATCAGAAGCTGTATCCTCTAGCAAAGAGTTTACTGAGATCACTGTCTTCTCTATCACTTGTTACCTTAACTCTTTACCTCCCAATGTCTAATTGTTAATTCTCCCCTCTGGCTGCTATAAATTCCCTTGTAAATTGGATACAAGAATTTGGTGTTAGTTGAAGGTAACAACTGTTACCCGATAAGTATGAGTATTCTCCTTACCTGTTTGCTCGATAATGTATGGATATTACAGGGATAAGTTAATTGTTGATCACTTCTGGGAGTTAAAGTGTTAACTAAGACATATACCATACAACAAATCAAGGAGATGGGACACAGTCATTAAACTGTAGCGCAACATGACATGAACGGCATTCACAAATTAGCTGTTGCGGACCAAACCAGGGTAGCTTATGTTGGTCCTTCCACCTTAGTCAGCTCAAAATGCTCACCATTCCCAGTTCTTAGGATTTTAAATTGAGGAAAATTGACAAATCAACCGAAACGCCTTTCTTAGATAATTTTAAGTCAAAGCCCAAGTCTCTCATGACATCCTCTAGAGTACGCATGTGGAAAACCCAACCTCGAGCGAGGTATCGACAATCACGGCATCGGTTCATGAAAAGGTCTCTACCCTTGCCTTCCGGTCTTGAACGGAAAGAAGAAATGTAACCGCCCCTCCGTAACATTTCTACTTCTTCAATTTAAAACGGGTAGCCAAGTTAACGGTCATAAATGGTTCTTGTTTGATATAATTTGAAACTTTCGTAACGTGCCATGTGCTTTCTTTCCTTGACTGTGTTTAGCAAGTGTCAATTCTTAATCTCTTCGAGCTCAGCAAAAGATACAACCAAGCAGGACACTCGTGGTATACGCATGATCATGATCATGATCAAGCAAGGCCGCACACCATAGCCAACCCGGAACAGTCACAAGCAGCCCCACCCCCACCCACTGCTTGTGACATGTGGTCGCCTCCTCCTTACCAGGGTAGGGCACGAACAAGATAGCGCTGGCGGGAATACGATACGATGTGGTGAGGTACACGGAAGAAATAGTGCGAGTTTCTCGCCTTACGTAGTGTGGTTCATTGACAACTTGTTGTAGAGTTGTTCTCTTTCAGCTTTAGACTAGCAATTAATACTATGATGCGGTGGGTCTTTTCTTAACAAGACAGGCAAAATTATTTTTGAAATTAATTCCGGTTTAAAAACGTATTTACGATATTTTGTACTTATGGACAGAGTAGCAGGGACAACAGGAAAAAATTAGGTTCGAGGTCTTTCCTTCATACCAAGGGCCCAATATTTTCCGTTGGGCTCGAGCTACCTTAGTCAATAAGCATTTTATTCTATGACTTCCGTTCTTCCTCTTTTGTGCTTCTTTCATCATCGACTTTTCCCATTTATACTCGTACCATCGCGTATGTTATTCGTTAAGAGTGCGCGCAGTACCATACGTGTCCGATGATAATAATGATGAAAATCAGTAAATTACGTTTCGAGGTTCTGAACATCAACAAAGCTTTTTTTAATTCCTGTAAATATTTCTTATTAATACTGTAAATTTGTTCAAATTATATGGAGGATATCAGATGGCCGCGTGTGGATACGAATTTTATCAACACGAGAAGATAAATTCGTATCCACAAGTGGAAATATAATGATCTGTTTGATATTACATATTATTAAAAAGCATTTTTGGATCGATTCTTTCAAATATTTTGATAGCACCAAATGCAGAGATCTGCACGTTTACTTAACTCGCAGAAAAGCTACTTTATCGTCTGAAATAACAATAAAACAAGGTCTCATATTATATAAATGTTTTCCATCAACCGTAGTATTGTTGGTAAATGAGAGGAGATAAAAAAAAGCTCCGACGTGTAAAGTAAAACCACCATGTTGGTCAACTTGATTACTCGAAGACGTTGTTATCTTCGCGTGTTAAGATATAGGTGAAATGATCTTTGCACGCGGAGATGTCGTGTTTTCGAGAGGCGTAGATATTTTGTTATTTCATCAATGTCTGTAAAATAACAAATTTTTAAAATGCCACGTTTTGTGAAATGTTAATGTTAACTCAACTGTTTTATATCAGTTTTGGTGGTGAGGTTTCGAAGCGTAATTTTCCTAAAATTACAAAACCAGGCCCTTGTGCCATCGTCAACTTGAAGAGAGGGACAATTGTTTTTTTTTCAAATGTTCGAAAGTTTATTCTTGGTTACCAATTATCAATTTGCGAAGGCTTGTTTGAAATACATAAATTTACGACGTACTCGCTTTGATGTTAAAGAATTCAAGTATTTTCGTATCTCTTGTATTGTAAAGTAAGACTAATCTACAGTTTTTATTATATTAAGAACCAGAATACCAATTAAATCTATTTTATCAACATAAAATCCTCTTGAGTTTTATGCTGTTCCTCTAATCAACTGCTAAGTGCCGCATGTTGACACAAACTACAGCGCGTGCTTATTTTGCGTGAAAAGTGCGTTGTTTGGTAGCCAAATGTTATAGAAATCAACGACTTTCAAAACTTCATGACTGCGCGGTATCGAAACAGTAAAATCTAGCCTCAAAGTTTAGTGATGTATCGATTTTGCTCAGTTTCAACAAGAAATCGTAGCAGTTTCTTTTCCCAACTGCCGCGGTCCTTATCATTGTGATAATCCACAAATGTCTGTTCCCTTAATGCTTTGGGCAACTTTTTTTTCCTTATCCCGTCAATTCTAACGACCAACAGGGAACCTTCATGAGCAATTTTACTTCGATACAGCGCCATTTCGAGTTCTCCCTTGCAGAACTTGCTGTCCAAGTAGTTCTTGGACATCACCGCCAGTACATTGCGGCTGGAGTAGACACTCTCCGCCATGTTGTCCGTTAGAGGCCTCCCCAGTTCAAAGTCCCTACTGTGGATGCAGTATTTAATTTGGTTCCCGTCCAGAAGGGGAATTATATTGTCCGCCACCCACTGACGGTCCTTGTTGCTGAATGTCACAAAAACGTCGTATTTGAACTGTCCGTCACAAGATTTTCCTGTAAAACAAATGTAGTCGGCAGTCTAATTCTTGGAATGATTGTGGATCCGCGGTACATTGATGCCCTTCACTTATTTTTAGACATTTGAGTATTCAAACCCTCATTAAGAAACCATTGGTAACAAAACCCCACAAACTAGGTACACTGATGCCAACTAAGCGCTCACTATTTCTTTGGAAATACAGCTGTTGACAATAATTTAGAATGCTTTTCAGTTGAGAGTCTTTAAACTCAGCCCTAGTAACTACAACGACCAATCGGAAGAAAAGAATATATTTAAAAGCCATAGAGATCTCAAAGTGAGAAATAACTTAACTGCCTCAACCGCGGGAAAACGCGGGTGACCAAGCCGTGATTGTTTCTAGTTTTACGTCTGATTCATTAAGAGATTGGCGCGAGTTTTCTGGAATTTAATCACGGATTCCTTTCGACACAATTGAAAATTTCACAAGCGGCTTTTGGCGTATCACTTTTTCCCTCACTTCCCCTCAGTCTGCTCTTTCGAGCCTCCTTCTCCATTTCTCCTTCTTTCCGCTCACCACACACTGTTACCTATCTTTCTGTTCATTCCAATCGCGCGCATTTCCCTTTCGGTCTCACTCGATCGTTCTGACTCTCCCTCTTACCTTGTTGTCCAATGTATACTGAGATCAAAGTCAGTCTTTTTTCGTATGCTGGTATTTCTTCATCCCTGCTCGCTAATTCCTCGCACCACGGAAGTTGCTGAGTTAAGACTCTTTCTCCACCCGTGTCTCTATCCTTCGTTGACTTTCTCTTCTTTTAGTAGAGTTTTGTTCATTCTGCACCATACATCCTTTCTTTCTTTCTCACTTGGCTTTCTTTGTTTGTGCCTGTGTCGATTTCTAATCTTTTCTAACTCGTTCTTCTTTCGCTCCTAATTGTACTTTGACCTTTCGTCATTCATTACTCCTTTCCTTGTTTGTTTCTCACGGTACATTTCCACACTCGTACCTCGCTCGTTACTCGTACCTCGCTCGTTATTCGTACCTCGCTCGTTACTCGTACCTCGCTCGTTACTCGTACCTCGCTCGTTACTCGTACCTCGCTCTTTACTCGTACTCTCAATTACTTCCTTTGCCATTCGCTTCTTTTTCCTTTATTCTTTAGTTCAAACGCACTCTTTCCTCACTCTTCCCACGCTCTTTCCTCGCGCACGCGTTTCCCCTTCAGACTCACTAACTCTGGGGCCGGTACCTTACTCGAGCTTTGTGAAGCGGCCTACTGATAGCAGCTGAATGAAAACTAATACTCTTCCAAGGACACCTATTTCAGTAGTGCACATAATCCCCTTTCATGAAACCCCTCGGTAACTTGCTCAAACACAAACCTTACTTCTTGTATTACTAAATACACTTTTCTCTTGAAGTGGTGTTTTAATGAACGCTGACATTTTACTTAAGTAACATAAACCTATGAAGTAAGCCATATTAACAAAGACAGGATCTCTATCAGACAAGTTACAAAGTACTACTTTCAGTACTAACTAAATTCATAAATTTCTAAATGCCCTTTCGTTGAAGGCGCACAGATAAGGCGTTACCTCAGTCACAATATTAGTGATTTATGATGTTAGTTTTCATCGAACATTTCCATTTCGGATCCTTTATTGGCCTGTGGTCAATAGGGATTAGTTTTCAGTTATGAACTATTGAGGATATAACGTCAAACCTTGCAGTTTCCACTCTTGCCTCTTCTTTATCATCTTGCGAAGAGGGATCAACGTAATCAAAGTCAAGAGAATTCCCCCAGCAACAACAGGGAAGAGGATGATCCACACGGGGGAAGAGCTGTCATCCGATGATGAAAACCCTACGAAATGCAAGCAGTACAACTTTGCATTCAATATTAAATCACAGCTCAAACTAATTAAGTTCAAAAAGAGGGGCATAGCGAAAGGCTTAGTTTGCCGGTCACTGTTTCAGGATTAAAGACGAGTTTATATGAGATATTATCTTATCAACATGAGAGCACTTTTCGATTGATTTTATTCCAATCAGAAGAAAGGAAAATACCTCAGAGCCAATCGAAACCCAAATTAAAAACAAGCAAATCGTCTAAAGCGCGGGAAAACGCGAGTGAGCAAGTTGTGATTGGTTTTAGTTTTGATTTGATTGGTTAACAGAGTGGCGCGAGTTTTCTGGAGTAAGATAGGGAGGGGGTAGCCTACGAAACCGCTCCACAGCAAAGGCATGTTAATATAGAACACCTCACTCGCAATGGCCCTCCATACCAGAGACCCAATCAACTATGCGCAACACTCTCAAAATTATGAGACTTTTACTGTACCAATTTCTTGTTCTGCTTCCACAAGGACAATCTCCTCCGTAGATATTCCAAGGGAAGTACTCAATGCACAAGTGTAATTACCAAAATCAGACTCAGACACATTACTAATGAGCAGGATCATCTCCTCCCTTTTCCGTTTGGTCTCCGAGCTGTCCGCAATCCCGAGCGTGTATGTTTTGTAGCGTGGATCTGATTGATTCAATTTGTCGCCTTGAAACATCCAAAACGTTCCCACCTCAATGAAAGCTTGGTACATGGATGTGCATTTGAGTTTTACCTGGGTGTTGAGAGCCACATACATTGTTTCCCATTTGGTCGAAATGTTTTGAACGTTATCTGGAAAAGAGGGCATGGACTGTTATATTATACCAGTACCTATCTATCCTCCTAGGCACAGTTATTTAAAGGGTGGATAACGTTATCTAACAGATAAAGAACTATCCAGTGGACAAATGTTAACAAAACGTACTGTGCTATCCACCGGATAACGACTGATCCAGTGGATAGCATTATAAAAGGCCTTCGAATAACCGCGGCCTAATTGCATCGCAGAGAAGCAAGTGCACAAGAAAATTGCCCACCCAGGCCTCGAAGTTGGAGCACCAACCATTACGTCCCGGCGTCTCTTTTGCGAAGAAAGCGGCAAGATGACCCATTCTTGCCCACTTGTGTTTGTCATCAAAATACAGGATTCGCTTTACCTTGCTCCACCGCGGAGTCAGCTGTATAATGTAAAGTATTACAAAGACAGACTTACCTTTTTCATCAATTGCCAAGGTCATGAAAGGACTTTTGGTTTCCACTAAACCAAACACTAGACATTCGTAGAGCCCTTCATCTCTTTCAGAAACATTTAGAATATGAAGCACCATCGTAAAGTTGTAGTCGAAATGAAATGTGTCTTCTTTATAACGACTCCGTTCTCGTCCCGGTGTAAATTCCGTGCCGTTGAGTAGCCAATACCAATCAGCTAAATACGAGCGAACATACATGACGTCACACTTTAAAGTGACATTTGAGCCTTTGGAGGCGATCGTGTAGCGAGGATGAGCTATGATCTCAGGGTTTCGACCGACTCGCGGCGGTTCTGATTCTGAAAAAGAAAAAAAAAAGGAATTTTGGAGTGCAAAAGCCTTAATAGGTACTTCGAAATATGCTTGCAGTTCCACTTTTGGACGGTGAAAATTCCTTGAAAATGGAAAGAGTATCAATAAGTAACAACTATTCACCTAAGTGGAGGTGGCTAGCTGCGCAGCTCGGTAAATATTCACCGCTATGACACCGATCGCAGATTCAGTGATTCAGTCAGTAAGTCCTCCAACACGTCACTCAGGACTCAATCAGCCATTCATTCAGTCCGTCCGTCCGTCCGTCAGCCGGTCAGTTGGTCTGTTGGTCTGTCGGTCGGTCCGTCCTTCGCTTGGTCGGTTGGACAGTCAGTCGATTGGTCGGTCGGTCTGTCAGCCGGCCAGTCAGTCGGTCGGTGGGTTGGTTAGTCGGTCAGTCGGTTATTTCGTCGGTCAGTCAGTTGGTCAGTCGGTCAGTCAGTCAGTCAGTCAGTCAGACAGTGGGTCAAGCTGTCAGTCAGTCAGCCAGTCACTGAATTGGTCAATAATTCAAGCAAGAAATCGCTTCTACAGCTGGCTCTCCAATCGGTCACACTTACCTTCAATAACGACCGATACGGTTTCGCTTGCTTTACCAAATGCATTCATAGCCTCACACGTGTAATCCCCCTGGTGACGACTTTTGGCTGATTTGATCCTTAACATCACTTGGTTTTTATTCGGATATTTCCATGTACTGAAATCGTCGCTCTCTGAAATTTCTTCTGTGTCCCGTTTCCATTTGATGGAGGGTGTGGGCCATCCTTCAGCTTGGCATATGATCCGTCTCTCATCCCCTTCTTCGATTTCCACTAGCTTTATCAATGGTAGTATTCTGGGGGCAGCTTGACACGTACGCGTATGACAGAAAAAAACAAAATTAGATTTAAAAGATAAATTTAAAGGATAAATTTATAGACAAATAACCTATAACCGGGTCAACATTT